CTCTCCTCCTCACCCCACCACTCCTTCACTTTTTTCACAAAATCTGGATGGGTAAGCCACATATTTTCAAATCTAAAAGGTTTGGGTCCTATAGGAAAAGACTCAGTACCTATTTGGATAGGACAGTGATCGGAGGTGACCCTAGGTAACGCCCTAGCAACCAAGTTTTCCAAACTATTCTCCCAGGCAAGGTTAATAAGAATCTATCCAACTTCGAGCACAAAGGGGTTTCCTGAAGGTTGGACCAAGGAAATTTAATACCAACCTTCGAGGTCACAAAGTAGGAGAAAGCCCAACCAAGTTTTAATCCTTAATATTGAAAACTGTTATCTCCTTGCCTTGTAGAAAATGTTGGTATTGTCCAGTGTCCACGACATCCCAAGTGTCAAATTTCCACTAAATCTCCCCCATCTGGTACATTTGCATGGAAAAAAGTCCCTTGATTTATTGTCACTCTGCCTTCTGCCCATGTAATTTATCAAAAAAAAAAAAAGAAATATGCCCATGTATCTTCCTTCATCACTTGCATTTGTTCCGGGCCTTCTTCTGAATGCTTGTTTGGTTTAAAGGTCATCTGATTAAGAAGAATAATTGTGTTGTTTGGAAAGAAATATACCCATGTATCTTCCTTCAGTTGCACTTGTTCTGGACCTCCTTCTGATGCTTGTTTGTTTAAAGGCCATCTGACCAAGAAGAATACAATTACAGTTAATTACTCTTAGTTCATTTTGACCTTGGTCTTTTCACCATGATGTCACCCACAGTTCTTTTTTTATTCCTTTGCTTTGCCATTTCCTGTAACATGTTCTTTTTTATTATTTTCAGGTATCCAGATGATCCATTTGATAGAATATGGGAGTCTGACTCATTGAAAAAGGCAAATTACCTTGTTGATGTTGCAGCAGGTACTGAGAAAGTATCAACCCTAACGCGAATTAATGTTAATAGAGATGAAATGCCACCTCAAAAGGTAATGCAGACGGCTGTGGTTGGTACAAAAGGAGATTTAACTTACCGCTTAAACCTGGATGGCTTCCCAGGTTTTGGATGGGCTTTCTCCTACTTTGCTGAAATTGAAGATTTGAGTTCAGATGAGACAAGAAAATTTAGGCTAGTCCTTCCAGGCATGCCTGACATCACCAGACTTTCTGTTAACATCCAAGAAAATGCTCAAGGAAAATATCGCTTGTATGAACCGGGATTTACCAACATATCTCTACCTTTTGTGTTATCTTTTCAATTTGTAAAAACAGCTGACTCAGCCAGAGGACCACTCCTGAATGCTATGGAGATAAATAAGTATCTGCGGATTAATGATGGTTCTCTTGATGGTAAGGCATTGATTTACTTCTTTACTGCATGGTACATCAGTCAAGGATGTTCTCATGTGATAGCCCTGTCACATTTATCATTTATTGGCTCAAAAACAGAACAAAAGTTGCAATTACGTTTTTACTCTCTTTAGGATTTTCATGTGATAATATCATTTGTCATTGAATTGTATCTCCTTTACTCTCTTTTCGTTAGAATTATCAGTCTAGGCATTTACAGCATAAGGTATTCTTGCATTGTAAGATAAGTTGGCTGCTAACCTATGCATAATATTGGTTCCTTGATTGCATGATCATGAATAGCCTTATTTGGCTTGAAATACTGTTCTGGTATACTAATCTTAGCTTTCATGAGTTGCAGGAACAATTATTGCTGGTCTAGTTTCTAATTACCCATCAACAGATTGGGCACAAGAAGGTGGTGACCCATGCTTACCAGTTCCATGGTCATGGGTTCAATGCAGTTCAGATCCACAACCTAGAATAACTTCAATGTAAATATTTTTTCCTTTTTATTATTTTTGAGAGATTAAACCAATGTTTTAAAACGCGGAGGCATGACGCGAGGTGTTCCACTACTTGGGGGCGTGAGGCGTAGTTCAGAATGTAAGAGGCATAAGACTCCCAAACCTAGAATAACTAAGATGTAAATATTTTTTCCCTTTTATTCTTTTTGAGAGAGTATACCAATGTTTTAAAATGCGGAGGCATGGCGTGAGGTGTTCCATTACTTGGAGGCATGGGACGCAGTTCAGAACGTAAGAGGCATAAATCTCCCAAACACAAGGAGGCAGGCAAAAGCCTCCTTAAGAGTAGGGGGGTGAGGAGGAAGAAGAGGGAGGATCTCATTTCTCTCTTCTCTCTCTCTCTTTCTCTAATAAAGATATTTCATATTAAGAAGAATGAAGATGCCCTAGCTGAAGGGGGGGGGGATCTTGTCTAAACTTGTTTTCCCATTCTCTTTCCTTCCCTTCTCGTTTCTTGTCTTTCTTTTCTCTTTTTCATCTCTTTCTTTTTCTTTCCCTTCCCTTCCCTTTCCTTTCCCTTCCTTTCTTTTCATTTTCTTTCCAGTGCCTCTAGCACGCCTCATGCGAAAGGTGTATGCCTCTTGCACCTGAGGCATATGCCTCAGGGTGTTTTGGGGGGCACCTCACCTGGAGCCATGCCTTAGGTGTACACCTCCCATGCCCTTTAAAATACTGGATTAAACTAAATAAAACTTGTGTGACCTCGAAGGCTGTCTCATGAATATTTGTACTTCTAAGCTTCTTTTAGTTCCAGTTTTCAATCCTAATTTAAGTTGAGTACTGATTTACACTACTTTTGGTATCTGGAATTTTTGCAGTGTTCTGTCTCAGAAGAATTTGACAGGGAAAATTCCTTTGGAGCTGACAAAGTTGACAGGCTTAGTTGAGCTGTAAGCTTCTAAATACATGGTCACTTTTTCTCATTTAGTGTTGGTTTTCCTTGCATCATTGGTAACCGTTCATCTTTTGATTATAGGTGGCTTGATGGGAACTCACTCACTGGCTCAATACCTGATTGCAGTGGATGCGAGAACTTGAAAATCATGTAAAAATCAACGACTTTTTCATTTAGTCATTTAATTTTCCAAAATTTTCATTTTACACATACATTTTTCTCAATTGTAGTCATCTTGAGAACAACCAGTTGACTGGTGAGCTGCCTTCATCTCTTTTTCACCTGCCAAATTTGAGGGAACTGTAAGTATTGTTACCTCATGATTGATAAATATTTTGAGGGACTTAATTGAATTCTTCAAGATCTTATTTTCTAACTCTTCTGGTTGCAGGTATGTTCAGAATAATATGTTATCTGGAACAGTGCCATCGGGTCTTCTTAATACAAATTTGATTTTTAAGTGGGTATTAGTCTGTATTAATCCTTTGTACTCATGCAACCAGACTCTAATTCAGATCTCATTTATTGCATACACTATCTTATATGTTATTTATTTGCATAATGTGGTTGTCTAACTTTTTTCTTATAAAACTTGTATCAAATATCTTACTTTTATTTAAATGAATAGTAATTGGTCTACATATGGTTTCTTCTTTAGTAGGAAGGTTTAGGTTGAGTCCCTAGGATTATTTTGTATCCCTCACTATCTTTGTTATCCAGATGCTTAAAATAGGTTCTGTATCATTGTCATATACTTCAATTTTGAGTTAAAACTCTAATCCATGGTGTCCATGCTGCATTCTTTAGATATTTATATGTTGTGAATCTTTACATTTGCTGTCAGTTACACTTGTATTGCTGGATTTCTATGTTGGACCTATAGCTTACACTATAGGAAGGGCAAATGGAGAGGAAGTTACTCACATTCAACCATGCTAGATCTCTGCATTGGTTATTGTCCTTTTAGTAAGAAACCTGTTTTTGCATTGCATGTATTTTAGTCCATTGCATGGAAACATCACAATTTGGTTATGGATTATGCAACAATTCTAGATCTCTTAAGTTGTTTATTAATCTCATTGTAAGGCATCTATTATCTCTTTATAGTCCATTTCATAGAGAATCTCACAATTTGTATATCCTTCTAGTTTAAACTTTAAAAGATTAGGGTTACAGAATAACAGAGAAGAAGGTAGAAGAAGAGAAGAAAGAAACTCATGGAGTTCAGGTTTTAGCTTGTTAGCCGACTCCCATTGTTTTATTTCTTTAATGTAAAATAACACAAAGAAAATCTAAAATACCCTTGCTATAGTGCATCGCAGCAGTTTGCTCCTTTCAAGTCAGTGCTACAAGTGTTCACTCCACTCCAATTGTCCTCCCAAAAATGATTTTTCAATCCATCACCTATCTTAAATTCTTTCTAAGTAGCATAATCATCAAAAATCTGCATAATACCTTTCAAAAAGTTCACTGCATATGAAAACTTTTCTGCTTTAGAAACCCACCTATTAGCTAACATGTGTAATTCATGGATACCACCCTTTTCCAAGAATACCTCAATTCAAAGAAAGCTCAATAATTCTTAAACTACATTATTCAATGACTCGAACTTTGAACATAAATAAAATATAAGCAAACAAGTCGGACCTGTTCTAAATCCCAAGTGGCATCATAATGCCAAAAGTACCCCTGGTGTTGAGCCCAAATCCCAAGTGCCATCATAATGCCATACCAGGACCTGTTCTATGTCCTTTCTTCTAGAATAAGTTTTCAAGGGTGCTGATTGATCCCTATGACTATGTCATCCAAAATCTATTGGTGGTTTGAAATTCAAAAAAAAAAAAAAGGACCTTATGAATAGAGTTCCTTGGAACTCCTCTAGGAAGGAGTTGGCATTGTGGAAAATGGTGGTGGTAGCTAATTCTGGAGAGGCTCTTTCTAGTTCATTGTCTAGGTCTATTCATTCTTTCTTCAGAATTGTGTCTGGACTACCCTTTCCAAACCAACTTATCCAAAAAGAACACCCCCACCAAAAACGAAAAAAAAAGTTGTATGAGTACCTTCTCATCCTATAAATAGGGTATGGTCTGCATGGTTCTTTGAACCAGTCCTTTTTGGTAGCCTACTAAACCTCTAAAATGATGCTCATCGACACTGTTTCTGATCTGTGAAATTGATTTCAACTTAGACACTTCTCCTCCATACAGTGATCAGAATCTGGAAGGGGAGGCCGTCTCCTGAAGATCTGTGGAGGAAATTTTTTTTCATGTTGAGCTGGAATAACAACCAAGACAGTCTAGCTGCAAGTTAACCAATTTATGAATTGTGGTTCAACACTTTGACACTAGAACAATGTGATATCTGGATTTTAACAAGATCCTGCCCAACTTGGGTGTTTTTGCGCAAATAAGTATCTAAACCTTAACTGTAACACTCGGGGTGATATTAATGTAAATAGATAAACTGCAACAAAAATGGCATTTCTTAGTAGTCCTGTGGAACATGCATAGTTGCATGCTAATAGCAACCTAGATGTTTTTTCTTTTATTTTCTTTTATTTTTTTTTTGTGGTATCTGAATAGTTAGGTTAGTCAGTCAGAGATAACCCAGATGTCACTACTTGTAAGCGGTGGTTGTTCTTATCCAAAATAAATGCATTCTGATGGTCTCTATCATTGATCTCATCTTTTAATTTAGATGCTCATGCTCCAACCTGTGTTAAAAATAAGTTTTCTTGCTGACTTGAAGCTTTGATATTTCATTAACATCATCCAAGCCTATCCCAACTATATGGGCTCGGTTACATTAATCCTCTTTTGCCATTCCATTTTGTTTAATGCTATATCCATTGTTATCATATGAGTGCTTAAAATCATTACTACTTCTACCCATGTCCTTTCTGGTCTACCCTAGCCCTTTTATACCCTTCAACTTGCGACGAATCACTTCTTATGGGTAGGGGTGTCAATTTGACTGGATTTGGTCCAATCTGATCCAGTCCAATGTGAGTCCATTACAAATGGACCAGGTCCAGTCCAATCCAATGAATATTTTGGACTATTTTGGACCAGCCCAATTCAATGTCTAGACCGTCCAATCTGTTCAAATTTGTTTTAATTTAGATTGGTTTTAACCCAAACCTGGTCCATTGACTCCTATATTCTTATCTTCTATCAGTAGACCAGATGTTGTTTCAATCCAACCCAATCCAATATAAATTCATTATGGATGGACCGGGTCCAATCCAATCCAATCCAATAAATACTTTGGACCATTAAGTCTGGACTGGTCCAATTCAATATTTTTTTTTGATCAGCAAAAGAGAACTTTATTTGAATTTAGGGTTTGATTAAAGTTTTATAGCTTTGTGTATGAGATTAATGCTCCCACACTAGTACATATTTCTGTCAATTCAATATGTTTTGTTGGTTTATTCAATCCCTCCAAATTGATTTTGGTTTGGACGGAGTCCAATAAAAAACCGGTCCATTGACACCCCTACTTACAGGTACTGTTGATGGTTTTCTATGCATGTGACCAAACTATCCTAGTTTGCTTTATCTCATTTTATCACCTATTGGAGCTACTCTTAGGTTCATTCAAATGGCTTCATTTCTGTGAACCGAATTGAGAGCAAGAAAACAAAATTAAGGGTGTCAAGAATAGTCGACCCCCACCCCAAAGAGTCTCTTTTATATTAAAGAATAAAAGATATGTACAGTTACAAGAATGCCCTTACAGGGTTGAAAGATAAAAAGAACAAATAAAATAATAAGAATACGATACTGTACAACAAGGACTATTCTAATAATGTACATCAAGATATATCATCGCCTTGGTAAAGATGTCGGCAATCTACATGTGAGAGGCTACATGAGGAAGAGATATAGAGCTCGCAACAAGGTCTCTAATAAAGTGACAATCCACCTCGATATGTTTAGTCCTCTCATGAGAGACAGGATTAGATGCGATCTTGATAGCACTGGTGTTGTCAACATACAAAGGGATAGGAGTAGGAAGTGGAGTACCAAGATCCATGAAAAGAAGACTTCAGCCAAACAATCTCGCTACATGCAGAAGACATAGCTCTATACTCGGCTTTAGTAGAAGACTTAGAGACACCTTGCTGCTCCTTGCACTTCTAGGAGATGAGAGAGTCACCCATGAAGACGCACCACCCAGTAGTGGATCGACGAGTGTCAGGACAACCAACCCAGTCGGCATCAACATAAACCCTCAATTGTATGGATGATGAGGAAGAGAAAAACAGTCCCTGAGAGGTTATCTCTAACATAATGGATAATGCGGTGAACAACAATCATATGAGGTTGCCGCGGGGTAGAGAAAAATTGATTGACAACCTGAACAACATGTGAAATATCAGGCCTGGTCATAGTGAGATAGGTCAGAGAGCCAACAAGCTGATGGTACAAAGTAGCATCAGGAAGGATGAGGCCTTCGGATTTAGATAGCTTGACATTCATCTCCAGGGGGGTATCAACATGTTTCTCATCAGTAATTCCAGCTAATTTGACGAGATCAGAGGCATATTTTTGTTGACAAATGAAATACCCTTGACCGCTACGATGGACCTCCAAACCCAAGAAATAAGTAAGGGGACCCAGGTCCTTCATGTGAAATGAGTTATGGAGTAAGGACTTCAGCTCACAAATGCCATCATGATCATCCTCAATTAGAAGCATGTCATCAACATACAATAGGAGGATAGTGATACCCTGGGGTCTTCTCTTAACAAAGAGAGAGTAGTCAAAGGAACTCTGATCATACTCAGCTGCGACAACAACACCCTGGAAGCACAACCGGGGCACATGAAGAAAAGCATTCTTCACGTCTAGTTGGTAAATAGTCCAGGAATGAATGGCAGATATGGCCATAAAAGTCCAAACTGTGGTAGCAATTGGGGCACATGTTTCTTCATAATCAATCCCATATTCCTAACTGTATCCTTGGGCAACTAATCGAGCCTTATATCGATCAAGGGAACCATCTGACTTTAGTTTGATCGTATAGACCCAACGGCTTCCAACAATAGAAGCATTTGGAGGAGCTGGCACAAGATCCCAAGTATCATTCTCATGGAGGGCTTGAATTTCAGCATCCATGGCTTCTTTCCACTAAGAACTTCTAATGGCTTGCTGATAAGATCTAGGGATATCTGTGGAAGAAAGTGCAACAAAAAAGGAACTATGGTTTGAAGGAAAACCATAGCGGTTAGGGGGTCGAGAAATACGGGTAGAATGACGAAGTGGAATAACCGAACTACTATCTGAAATGGGAGGATCTTGGGTCAAAGTATCACTTATAGGGGGTACCAGGGAGGGATGCTCTAGACCGGGTGGAAGGGGGGTTGTAGGCGCAGGCAGGGACTGGGGCACGTAGCCGCTTGCGGGTGAAAACGAGAAAATCTCTCTCAGTCGAGGAAGTAGTAGTGTTGTTTGAATCAAAGTCTTGCAAAATAGAGATGGAAGGAGCAAACAATCTAGCAATCCCAGAAAAGAAAGAGATATGTTCAAGAAACACAACATTTCGGGAATACGATGAATAGCAGGATCATAGCACAAAAATCCTTTGTGGTTAGGACTATATCCCACAAAGGCACACATAGCAGACTGGGCAATTAATTTAGATCGTTCACGAACAGGAAGATGTACAAAACAAAGACAACCAAAAACATGAAGACTAGAGAAATCTGGGGGATGACCAAAAAGTTTTTGGAAGGGAGAAGTGTTGCCTAGAACAGAGGAGGGAAGAAAATTGATCAAATACACAGTTGTACTGGCTGCTTCTACCCAAAACGAAGTTGGAGTATGAGATTCTTGTAGTAATGTCCGCACAACATTGAGAATATGTCCATTCTTCCGTTCAGCCACACCATTCTGTTGTGGAGTGTCTGGGCAGCTGCGTTGAGACTAAATTCCATAACTCCTCAAGTAGGCTTGAAAGTCTCTGTCTCTATATTCCCCCCCTGAATCTGAGCGGAGGATAGTCACATTGCACTTGAATCGATTTTGCACCATAGTATGAAATAGTTTAAATGTGCCAAAGACTTTTGATTTGTGCCGCAAAAAATAAATCCAAGTATATCTGGTACAATCATCTATAAACAATACAAAATATCTGTATCCCAATCGTGAAGTAATAGAAGCAGACCAAACATCACTGTGTATTATCTCAAAAGGTTTAGTGGCATGTTCAGATGTATGAAGAAATGGTAAAACATGACTTTTACTCGAACAAAAACTTTAATTTTTGGGAATATGGATGACCCAACCGTTTATGCCATAAATCCCAAATATTATTTCTATAACTCAATAGAGAAGCAGACAAAGAAAAACTAAGTAAAGCTGAGGATGCTCCTGATTAAGATTTCTCGAACTCTAGCACAAACAGATGGCCCAACCTACGCCCCTTCCATTTCACCTTCCTAGTGTACTGGTCCTGTATCAAGCAACCATCATGAGAAAAGGTGAGAACATTTCCTTCATCAACAAGTTGGCCAACAGAAATCAAATTAAGAGGGTTTTGGAGAGAGGGAAGGATCTAGTTGGTGACAGTTTAAGGGACAAATCATTGCTACCAATGATGTCCAACTTTTCACCATTGGTAGTAATAATATGTTTATGGTGAGTTTCAGTGGATGGATTTGGGTGATTGAGGTAGGCTCCTGTCATATGATTGGTGGCACCTGAATCTATAATCCAAGCATGTGAAGGGGAAGAACAATATGCAAATAACTTACCAGATAAGCCAATAGCAGAGAAAGCAGAGGAAATAGCAGAAGATACCAATTGTCGAACCTTTCTTCATCCATGACACCTGTTGAATCACCTTTCACTGAAGAATCACCCTTGGTGGATACAGTGTCAGTTGCTTGTCCATCTGTTGCATGATAGGCCCGGGGCTGAGTCTTTTTTTGAGAACCCTTAGCAGTGATTTAAAAGGCGCTCCTAGGCGCACAAGCGAGGCGCATTTCAAGGAATACGCCTCACCTAGGTCCTAGGCGCAGCCCTTTCAAAAGGTGCACGTTTGGTGCGCCTAGGCGTGTGCCTTGTGCCTCAGCCCAGGCGTGCGCCTTTTGAAAATTTGGTGCTTTTTTGCTTTTCTTTGAACATAACGGCTGGGCCCTCAGTTGGACCCCCAATTTGGTAATGTTGTTCATTCATTCATCCTAATAAAATGCCTTCTTAAAAAGCAAATAAAACTATAAAATCATTATTTTTTGTGTTAAAACTAAGAATTTAAGACCTAACGTGGGCTTGTTTGGGCTTGCCTCGAGGGGCGTGGCACAAAGCCAGCTCGTAGAATCAGGAATGTAATATGTTTTACATTACATTAGCTATGTGAAGTACTGCAATTGAGTGAAAAAAGAAATTAGAGGTTTTACATGCTTGGAAATGTTTTATATGTTTGATTTTATTTTTAAATTCTCATTTGAATATGCTTTACATCTTATATTAATGTATTTTAATTTTAGATAATATGTTTTTTAAACATTATTTTAAAATTTTAGTTTATATTTTTTATTAATTAATTATATTTTTTTTTAATTTATTTTAAAATATCCTATGCTTTACATCTTCCTAGTTTTCCACTTTTCCATCTCAGCTTACGCATTTCTTTCATATTCAATTTTTTTGGACATGTTTCTTGACTGCCCAATACTCTGTTCTGAAGCTTTGATATTCGGCTTCTAAAATATTTATCAATATATTTATATCTTGGCTCATCTGCTTGTATCTTTGTAAGATACTCTTTTCTTTTTCTGCTTTCTTTTTATAGATATTGGAATATCTGCTTCTGCATTTGACACGTAATATGAAATATTTACTGTTGTTGTTGATTGTTATGCCTCACAGCTACTCTGGCAACATTGATTTTCGTGTAGAACGGAGAGGAGGAAGCCACATAAAAATCATTATTGGATCAACGGTTGGGGCTGTTGTACTGCTTCTAGCTACCATTTTATCTTGCATATTTATGCATAAGGGAAAGAAAAAATATTCTGAGGAAGGTCTGGTCAAACTTCTTTGAACTTCTTTGTGTGTGTGTGTGTGTGTGTGTTTTCTTTTTTCCAGTCAGAATCTCATTAGACCTATAATTGTGTGTGTGTGTGTGTGTGTGTGTGTGTGTACTGTCTGAATTTGTTTCAGATCAGCTTGTACAATCCTTACCTCCCCAGAAATTAGTTTCTTCCTCAAGCGAGGTTGCCACAGAAACTGCACATTGTTTTTCGTTTGCTGAAATTGAAGATGCCACTAGGAAGTTTGAGAAAAAAATTGGTTCAGGAGGCTTTGGAGTGGTATACTATGGAAAGATGATAGATGGAAAAGAAATTGCGGTCAAAGTTTTGACTAGTAACTCCTACCAGGGGAAGCGAGAATTTTCAAATGAGGTAGCTTGGGATTAAATTTGCATCTCTTTTCTTATCACTTTACATTTCCTTTGGAACTTAATCTTTTATGTTTTCCCCACATAAAGAGAGAACTAAAGGCCACATAAAACCATTGATAAAATTCAAAATCCAACAACAGAAAACTTAACTACTCTATGATTAATCAGATAAGGCCCAAGAAAAACTGTGGAATACACCTCTACAGCTCTAAATAGGCCATCTGTGATTGAGTTAGCTGATCTAGGAGTCCAAATAAATTGATGCAGAGGCATCTGGCTTAGTCCAAGAGCCCATGGGTGATGTAGGGCGAGCTCAATTCTAGTCCTTTCAGAATGTTGAATGATCTTCCTTGATCATAAATCTATGGCTGTTGATGGCTGTAATGGCTTATTGAAGGAACAGGAAGGAAAATAGAGAGAGAACGAGGAGAGAATGCCAGGAATCACTCGTGGGGTACCTAGAATCACTCTAGGGTATGGGAACCACTCACCATAATTAGCATAAGCTCAAGAAAACTCAATAAACTTTGATCTTTGTGTAAAACGTCCATACATATTCATAGACTCTAGTCTCATAAGAACCCTAGGACTCAGACTGTTAGACTCATAAGAATTCTAGTAAGATTCAGACTATTATCCTATTTCATTGGACCCCACAGAGAAATTGTAAAATGACAAAAATACCCCAACTGTCCAAAAATACAGAAACACATAAAATTTCAGAAAATTCCAATTTGGGATCTTCAGATCCTGCACCAATGGGCCAAAAGAAAGCCTAGAGAAGTGCTAATTCCATGGCTGATGGGTTAGCCAAGCAAGGGGTGCTTAAGATATTTTACCTCCCCTCTCTTGTACTCAAAGTTTCACAATTTTTATAATCTAATAAAACATTCTGTTTCACAATTTTTACCTCCCCTCTCTTGTATTATTGGTATTCTTTTATAAGTTGGCTATTATGATGGTTATATGAGTCCAACATGGAGCAAGTCATTATCATCATCCAAGCCTTATCCCAACTATATGGAATTGGCTACATGAATCCTGTTTCAACATTCCATTCTATCTATGCACATAACCAAACCATCGTAGTCTAGTTTTTGTCATTCTGTACCTATTGGAGCTACTCCGAGGTTCCTTTGAATGACTCCATTTCTGATCCTATCCTTTTCCATCCATCCATATTAGTGTACACATTTCTGCCACACTCATTTTTTGGGCATGTTGTTTCTTGACTGCCTAGCTTTCTGCTCCATACAACACGGCTGGCCTTACGGCTGTTTTGTTGACTCTTACCTTTTTCTAAATACATCTAAGTGGTATTTGTGATGCCTATAACATAGGACTCTAGATACACCCCTCCATTTTTCCCACCTGCTCTAATTCTATGAGCTGTCCTCTTCAACCTCTACCTTGTTATGAATCATTGAACCAAGGTACTTGAAAAGGTCTTATTGAGTTATCTCTTGGTCTCATCGTAAGTGTATGGTGTACCTTGGTTTTACACTCCTAATATTGTTATCATCATCATCATCATCATTATTATTATTATTATTATTATTAAATTTACACATATTCTGTTGTACTCCTGCTTATTTTAAAACCTCTTGTTTCTTATGTATTTGTCCATAATTTACTTTTTCATTTTAACCTTCATTAGTTTCATCAATTAAAACAATTTCATCAGCAAACACCATGCTCCAATGTGGATCACATACTATGGTTAATTAGAATTTGGTTTTACTGGGTTTAAGAGTTAATTTTTATTTTTTTATTAACAATAATGAATAACAGTTATGTTAATGAGATTAGAATGTAAAATCTGAACCTTCCAAACAGCCTCAAGGCCAAAATACAATTTTGATTAAAGATACATCATACTTCCAAAGCAGCCAGGTGCCTCCAATGATTGATGCAGGTGCCCCTTTCCTGGATAGAGCATCAAAACTAACATTTCTAGATCCTAGAACCCATCTGAACAAGCAGTTCAGTTATGAAGATAAATGTTTTCATAGTCTCACCTAAATCCTAAGGGTCAATGCCATCCTCTGAACAAGTAGTTCAGTTGCTGGGTATGTACCCTATTTATGACTAATTAGGATGATCAAAACAGCACCCTTCCTTTTCATTTTCACTTCCAGAACTGAGAGTGGATCTCCTTAAAAGTGGTCTCTCCTGATCTCTGTACAGATTTATTACCCATAATTGTAGTTGCCAAAACTTGAGGTACCCTGCCTAGGTGTCACCTAGGCTCCATAGCAAGGAAGAATCATCTTTCACTAATAATTACTGTTAAAGTTATTTTGTGGCAGGGCATAGTTTGTCATTTTCTCTTTTTCCCTGTAATCATGCTTTCATAAAAATCCCCCTTAAATGTTCAATTAGGACTCATTTCTTTGTTATGAAGAAAACTAACACTCTCCTTTTGACAAGTCTGATTTGTCATAGGAAATGATTTCCTCCCTTTCTTAGCATTTAAAAACTGGTGATTACATACTGACAAATGCTTTATTTGATCTAGGTGACTTTACTTTCAAGAATACATCACAGAAATCTAGTACAATTTCATGGTTACTGCCAAGAAGAAGGGAAAAGTATCCTTGTTTATGAGTTCATGCATAATGGAACTCTGAAGGAACATCTTTATGGTAAGATTCCATCTTTTGCTTTTAATATGAGCTTTACTTTGAATCTTGAATGGCCTTCTTATACATTTTGCAGGACCTTTAACACGTGAGAGAAGTATCAGTTGGATCAAGCGCCTTGAGATAGCTGAAGATGCTGCAAAAGGTAAGTATGCATGAATGCTATTGTTATTTCCAGTTACTTCAAAGATGTCATTTTCATTATTATATTACTTGTTTCAGGAATTGAGTACCTTCATACAGGATGTGTGCCAACTATCATCCATAGGGACCTAAAAAGCAGCAATATTCTTCTAGACAAACACATGAGAGCAAAGGTCGCAGACTTTGGTCTATCAAAACTTGCAGTAGATGGAGCCACACATGTCTCAAGCATAGTTCGGGGGACTGTTGGGTACCTGGACCCTGAGTAAGGCCTTTACCTGTATCTTTCATTTTTGTCTTTATTGACCTGAGGTTAAAGGGAAACTACATGTTTGAAAACAATAGCTGATCAAGTTTGCTTCATAGATGTCATTTATCTATGAAGTTATGGAATGCATGGGGAAATTTTGACTGCCCAGAATAGTTATATGCCTTCTGTCTAGACAGGGGTATTTCTGTCCTTGTACACTTATTTACTAAGTCTAAATATATGGTCGACTGGGTTAGACTCTGTCTTCTCAGTTCGACACTTTTCCTCTCTCTCTTCTTAGTTCGGCTGAACACTGACATGGTATCAGAGCGCCACTAATAGAATCTGTCTATGTGCACCATCACCTTTCTTCCATTCATTCTGACCAGTGATTTAAAAGGTGTGCCTAGGCACACAGGCAAGACACATTTTAGGGTATGCACCTTGCCTAGGTCCTAGACTCCTAGGTGCGACACTTTAAGTTATAAAAAACTTTTTAATAGGGATTAAGAATTTAAGACCCTGATATGGACTTGTTTGGGCTTGCTTTGAGGGGATTGGTACAAAGGTGGCTCATAGAGTCAGAAATGGATAATGTTTAACATCACATTAGCTATTTGAAGTAACGCAATTGGGAAAAAAATAAAGAGATTAGGAGTTTACATGCTTAAATATGTTTTATATGTTATGCTCGATTTTATTTTTAAGTTTTCATTTTAAATATGTTTTACATGTTATGTTTATGTATTAGGGCTGTTCATAAGACCAACAAATAGGCCAAACCAACCAATCCAACCCAACTTTATTCGAGTTGGTCGGTTTTCAACTATTTTCGGTCAACTTCAGTTCATGCATATGCTAACTCGAGAGGTCGGGTCAGTATCAGTTTGGCCATGTGTAAATCGACCAAAACTGACCTGACCGACTAGATATATTTAATATTTTAAATTCAAATTTTTTTAATATGGGAAAGTGGGAAATTCCCATATTTCATAGTTTAAAATATTTTATATTTACATTTAAATTTTTTAATAATACTGCTACAATTATTAATAAATTTTTAAATTTTTTATCCAATCAAACTGTGTTTCCTATTTTGGCAAATTAGTTTTGGGCTGTCTCTTGAACAAACCAACCCCAAACTGATAAACTGACCCAAACTGATATGACTCAAGTTGGCGGGTTTTCACTAATGATTGGTCGGTTTTGGATGGCTAGTTCCCCAACCCAACCAAGTCAGTTTGGTTGGCCAAACAGCCTGCAACTGAACCGAACCGACACGTGAACACCCCTATTATGTATTTTAATTTGAGATAATTTTTTTTTTGAACTCATCTTTTGGTGGAAGCTAGAGATATTTTAAACTCAATGCAGGTTAAATTGAACTGGATTCCCGGGGAACGGAACACTGTACCAGATGGATTAGCTAAATCTGGTGCTCATAGAGATTTTTTTTTAGTAATAGTGCTCTTCCTTTGTAATCCTTTCTCTTTTTTTCATTGGTGTACATCTTCTCTTTTAATAAAATCTTAGTCACCTTTTGCTCAAACAAAAATAAATAGTTTTTTTAATTAAAATTTAAGTTTACATTTTTAATTAATATTGTGTTTTTAATATTTGACAATTTTTTGAATTTTTGTCTTTTTTGAAAATTTACCCTTTTTTGCATTTTTGAGCCTTGCTTCAAAAAGGTGTGCACCTCGCCATGTGCCTTGTGCCTTGGGTGCAAAATGGCCCTTGTGATTTTTTTGCGCCTTGCGCTTTTAAAACACTGATTCTGACTATCTAAGTTCTCTCTCCAACATCTCTGCCCCCATGGATTTTGCTGCTGCAGAAGCCCTCTCTGTATCTGACCAGACCACTGCCGTTCTCCTTCACAATCCTTCTTCAATCTCTTCTTACCATGAACTGCCACCACCTTAGTCTCCCCAGCCCACTAATACCACTGCCGGCTTTGCCCCTCCTCTACTCCATCTCAAAATCCCACTGCATAATTACCTGTTGGATTTTACCACCTACCCCACCTACTCCACTCGTTCTCAAGCTTTGTCTGGAACTGGGAGAACTTTTACCATCCCTCCCTCCCAAGTTCTGACTTCTTCCCTTAACCCAAAGACAAACAAACATTCCAACCAAGCCCGCTTCCTCTCCCTATGTAAAAAGTGAGCCTTTATTTTTAATATTTCAAAAAATTAAATTACATTAGTAATACAGGGCCACTGCGTACTTATGTTAACATTAGAAGGTGTTAAAAGGAGTGTACGTGCAACTAAACTGTGTTTTAGTCATCCAGGCAGTGAAAATTTCCCCAGAATTCACACACATATTGATACTTTATTTGAATGGTCATGGACACAGTTGCAACTTACAAGCATGTAGCTATTGTTTACATGTACATATTCTATTAAACCTCAGCTGAAGGATTCTACCAACAATATCTCTTTTGACTTTGCACTTTATATTACATATTTACATTCCTGCTTCTCCAGCTTGAGCCTTTCAATGTTCCCATACGAGCTATTTGAACTATTACTGAGACCCCCTCTGTTGTTCTGTTTTATAGAAACTTCTGAGTGAGTGTTCTGTGTATGTGTTCATTTCTAGATATAAATGCAAATGTTAGACAGGCTAATTATAACAAACCAGATCAGTTGAGACAAAACAGTTCTGTATGATGAGATACATTAAAACTATTCTTTATAGTTCGATATAGAAAGTTTCTCATATGAGCCATTTCACATGACATTTGTGCGTACATGTCAACCTTTCATAAATTGGACTTTTTTGGTTACAAGAATCTTTAAGATTATAAAAGTTCTATTCATAAAGTCTGCATATTGTTAGTCTTTTCACTAAACATAGTATAAACACCTCTTATCTAATTCCTGGCTTGACTGTTCTCATATTGCCTCCTGGGTCACCAAGTGCACTAACCCCTCTTATCTAATAGTGCTTTCAATTTCAACTATTAAAATCTACATTTCCACTCTGCTGTTTTGCGATTCCATTCTGTTTAATGCCTATCCATTGTTAAATTATGGGCACTTGAATCATTTCTAACTACTTTGACCCATGTCCTTTTTGGTCTACCCCTAGCCCTTGTAGCCCTTCTTGCAACATATCACTTCTTACTTGTGCTGTTGGTGGTTTTCTATGCACGTGACGAAATCACCATAGTCTACTTCCACTCATTTTATCACCTATTGGAGCTACTCCTAGGTTCTTCTGAATGACTTCTGACCCTATCCCTTATAGTTTCCATCTCAGCATACACGTTCTGCCATCATTGTGCCATTTTTGGATCAGTTTAAACTGTTTCATCTACAAGAAATTTAACAAAAATCATTCCAACTTGTCAACTTATTCAATGTTTGTTGCATTTTAGCCTGCAAAATAAAGTGAAATGCTGCCTCATGCTTGGGTGGCAAAATTTTAGTGTGAAAATAGGTAAGGTCCATGATTGCAGCCAACATATGTTCATGATGTATTGATAATTGACGGGTTGATTTTCTTTTCCTTTTTTTTTTTTTTGATAATAGATTTCATTAAACAAAGCAGAAATATCTGTACAGATACAGCTTCCCCAGGGGAGGTAGAGTGTCCTATCTCACCCCATTACATAAATTACAATTACAAGTGTGCTCAATACATCTGCTCCCTATTTACTCCTTGCTTAGCAAGCGTGTAAGCCAACCCAGTTGCAGTTCTTTGTGCCCACTGAATTCTTAACAGGAAATGTCTTGTCTACCATTTAAATTTTTTAAGCACCTCTCTATAAGCCCAAACTATCTGCTTCTCATTCTTTACTCATCCAACCACCACCTGAGTCTCCCCTTCAAGAGTTCAGTCCCCTACCCCAATAGGACCTGTAAATAAAGCTAAAATGTGGCCTTCCTTATCCTTAAACACCCCTCCCACACGAGTTCGGCTTCCATCAGGGCAATGCCCGTCTGAGAAGCCTTTACAGCCTTGCATTGGGAATATCTCCCTACTCATGTGCTTTATATCATGGGGAGATACCTGATGCAAGGTTGCAAGAGGCTGTTGGGATGGTGTGAACACGGGCTTGCCCAGACCAAAGCCGATCTCCTCCCACACCTGAGGGACCTGGGTCACCACTACTGACAACTCCCATCAAAACTAAATTTAACAAACCCCTCCTCTGGTGGCACCCATTCTTGATGGGTCCATTCTCTCAAAGCTAATGATACTATGGGGTGCTCTGAATGCATTTCTTCAATGACTTGTTTCAATTAGGGATCTTCTACTACATGCAGGGATGACCTAGTCAATTTGAACTGTCCGTCAAATAGGAGATCTGTGATTTCGAGTTGTTCAATCCTGAATTAAATTATCTATCCATAGTTTCATTTTTTTAATTATTATTTTAAAAACTGTCCACCAAGAAGAGTTTATTTTGAATACTTGAAAAGGGAATTTTAAGCTCAAATTTGTTTCATGAATAGAGGTCAAAAAACATTGGGCTCTTTTGGGCACCAGACCATGTTGCAACATGCAACATGGAAGATTCCTGGGTCGTTTAGAATTTTCTAAATATAGCAGTCTGTTTTAAATTCTTTCTCCAATGACGTCTTTCTTTTTTATCTTGTACACAGGTATTATATCTCTCAGCAGTTGACAGACAAAAGTGATGTTTATAGTTTTGGCGTAATTCTTCTTGAATTGATTTCTGGTCAAGAAGCAATATCTAATGAAAGTTTTGGTGTTAATTGCAGAAACATAGTTCAATGGGTTAGTTCATTTATTATATAGAAGCTTATTTCCTCCATCCTTCTTACATTTTTTTTTTGTGTGTAAATCTTGGATTTGTTTCCAGCACTGGAAGTTACTTAGAGGTGAACCAGTATGTGGGATTTTCTTGGTTCATCTTTCCTGCATTTACTCAGATGCTAATCCATGTCAACACTTGTGTTATAGGCAAGATCGCACATAGAGAGTGGGGACATCCAGGGAATCATTGACCCGTCTCTGCATAATGAATTTGATATCCAATCAATTTGGAAGATTGCCGAGAAAGCAATAATGTGTGTCCAATCCCATGGGAGTATGAGGCCATCGATATCAGAAGTGCTCAAGGAGATTCAAGAAGCAATTTCAATTGAGAGGGGGGCAGAGGCGAGACGAGAAGGTCATTCTGATGATATGTCAAAGAACTCGATACACTCTTCCACTAATCTTGGCTCCATGGACCTGGGTGTGTCCGAGCCATACGTTTCATTTGATGAATCTATTGCTCGGCCAACAGCCCGATAACTTTGGTCATCCACACCCATCTCTGCCATCTCGATCTCAGTTTTTTCCCATTTGAATTACAGAGCCACACCTGGAATTACGAAAGGAAACAATGTTGCTTGTATACTTGATTTCTTTTTCGTTTTTTTTTTTTTTTAATATATTTCTTTGAGGGAGAGGGTCAGATTTGGAGGTTGAAGGAGTGGAGGACATGGAAGAAAGGATGTCATCAACTTCATTGTAACTTTTCATGGAAAAATCTATGATCCCGGAAAGAAATGATACCGGAAAGGCTTTGACCAATCAACCCCCCTCCCTCCTGAATTATGAAAAACCACCTGATTGGTGGTTGTGGTTACCACTTTATGATGTTGGTTGGTTACAAATTTTTTCAGTATCACGTCTTTCCAGCATCATAGTCGAAACTCATATTCAGTTTTTTCCCCTCCATTGAACTGGTATTCGAAATCATTAGTAAAAAGAAGCATTTTTCTGTTTTTCTTGGTGTTTGGTTGTAATTTCGAAAACAACTATCAGGCTTGATTGCCTACACTAGAACCAGGATCCCGATGTCTTGGGTATTACTATTGACAGTGGTTAACCGCTTAGGCGTGGGCGCTTACTACCAACCATGGTTGCTTACAGCCCACCAGACAAATCCCAATCCCAAGTTGTAATTCGACCTTAAAACAACAAAAAGGACAATCATAGCAGTATAAAAGATTGAGTTTGAGCCTTTAGTTTGACATATTAAGGTTATGTTTGGGAGTGTTTAAAAATAAGTGTTTATTTAGACCATTAAACACTTATTGGTATTTGGGAAATAAGCTTGAAATTAGTATTTATTTTAAAAATAAGGACTTATTTTTTAAACCTAAATTTCCAGCTTTGCTTTAAGTGTTTATACAATAAGCACTTATTCAATTTTTTTCTTTTAAAATTTGCCTAGTTGAATTATAAAATACCACTTATAAAATTATCCCTAATTGAATTTTATAAAAGTACTTTCATGTAAGCACTTTTACGAAACCACTTTAATGAAAGCACTTTTGTAAAAGTATTTCTATGAAAGCATTTTTTTTAAGAAAGTACTATTATGAAAGCATTTTTACAAAAGTATTTTTATAAAGTATTTCTATGAAAGCACTTTTATAAAAGTAAACACCTTTATAAAAGTATTTTTATGAAAACACTTTTATAAAAGTTTGTAAAAGTGCTTTTGTAAAAATGATTTCTTAAAAGTGCTTTCATAAAAGTATTTTTATAAAAATGCTTTCATAAAAGAACTTTCTTAAAATTGCTTTTAAAGAGTATATTTTGACAATTTGAAAGAAAATGTAGGACAAAATAGTTACAAATCCTTATTTAAGTGTTTATTAGAAAAAAAAAATACTATCAAACGTTCAATATAAAATAAGTGTTTATTTTAAAAAATAAACATTTGAAAAATTGGGTGCCAAGTGCAAATAATTAGTTATTTGAATAAGCATTTGTTTTTAAGCACCGGCCTAAAGCAAACATAAATCTAACTTTTTCCATCATCCGATTTTTCTAGGTATCAGAGCATTGGGGAGAGTATATTAAAGTGGAGTAGGAAATAATTGAATTGAATGAGAGTTAACAGTCGAGACGTTGCTCAACAATCCAGGACCTAAATGGAGAAACCCCGAGTGTTTTGTACGATTTTACAAGCAATTGAACACCTGAAAAACGGTGCTTTCCACAGAAAGGTTTGTTTTCCATTGTTCCACTTTTAACCAAATGGAGACCTAAGTGTTTATCAAAAAATCATCCCGCTCTTAGAGACAGTAGTGTCTTTAGCCAGCCTCGGTTTGTACAGTACTTTCGACGCTTTGATGGCTCCACAAAGGTTGCTTTTTCACCCTCCTTAGAAACAAGGATAGATGTTTGACCCTTTTACTTATCAAAGCCTTGACAAAAACTTCATTTGAAAGCACATCAAGCTTCTTCTGCTCTACGTTGGTCTTTCCAACAGTGGAGCAGACGAATGTGCAACCCTGGAGTGGAGTGGTGAAGTCTCCACTCCAGGGGACTCGGGATGCTTGGATTGCTATTAAGAACAAAACGAATGGTGGTCATGGACTCAGGGTCATCAAAAGCGGTCCTGTGAGCATCCTCTGTATTATATATCAATGGCGACCAAAACCTTTCAGGACTAAAACCGAAGAATATGATCTTTTGAGTTTTAACAGAATCGAGTTCAAGTACGTCTTTTGTCATCCCAAACAAGGTTTTAAAAACATACCCATAACTGGAACTATTCTGGTCACTGGTTTTTGAGTTTTCAACTTTAAAAAAAAATAAGAAAATGGCCAAAACCTTGAATGGATCAATGATTTGACTATCTGGATCAGTGGATCGTTGATTAAATCAACGGTTTTTAACCAAAGATCAGGCTAAAGATAAAATAGAACCTGTTACTTGAATGATCTCAGGTTGAACGGTCCAACCATCTGAATCATCGATAGATGGTTCAAAAACACTGATCCCAAGATTTGAACCAGCTGGGAACCCACTGTCGGGTTCAAATCCAGTTAAGAATTAGACGAGTTTGTATGGTTGAAACAGTGATAGATGGGGGAATCAATGAAAATTCAAAGGAGCAATGAATCGTAGGTGGAGTTGTTGGTAAATAAAAACTAAAAACCAATAAAAAAATTCTGGAGTGGAGCAAACTAACAATAAATTTCCTAAGAACTCTGCCCCACTGGTTCAAAAAAAAGAAAAAAAAAAGGCTACCTTTACCAATTTGTCAATGTGTATTTTAATCATTTTACCCTTTCTGTTAGCAGATTCTGATGGAAGGGGTGTACTTGCAGTTGTGTCAGAAATTTCAGGGGAACTGACTGCTATAAGCAATTAACAGGGGAAGTTTTTCAGCAACTGTCAGAAAATTGAGGGAGGTTTGAGCAGTTTACCAAAAGAAATTCAAGGACAATGGTACCTTGGTTTTTCAAGGTCAAACTAGTTTGCAACCATGTAGCTGATTTGACGGTGAATTGTCCACTCGGACTCTCACCCCACCACATTTTATCATCCCTGTCTCATTTCAGGTGTATAAATTTCTTCAAATTTCTTTTTTCAAGTTTTAAGAAAAATTTCTTCAATTCTTTTCTGTTATTGTTCTTAGGACCATTGCCTTACGACCCCTGGTCGGTTTCACTTGACTGATCATTTTATTAAAACCATGATGTTAAGGAGGTCTTGATTCTTAGCTCATTCAACATTACTTAGGAGATATGGGAGATACTGAACCAAAGCATCATCACGGCAAGCTTTCCAGTGAACACGTAGAGGACAATGCAGCGCAAACAGCCATTGTTGACAGCAAGCAAGGGGGTTGGATTACCGTCCCCATTATCACAGGTCTCTTTCTCTCTCTCTCTCTTCAGAAAAGGATGCATCTATTCTACGGTAACATGTGTCTAACATTGAATGCTGTTGGTGCGCGATCAACTTGCAGCGAGTATGCTGGGCTTGACACTTGCAGCGAGCGGGTGGATCTCTAATCTGATAGTATATCTGATTCAGGAATTCAACGTCAAGAGCATCGATGCCACACAAATCTTCAACACCGTCAGCGGTTTCACCACATTGCTCCCGATTGCCGGATCCATCACCGCCGACTCCTTGGGATGCTTCCCCGTTATCACCGTCTCCTCTTTCATCTCTTTGCTGGTAATAATTAATATATAATTATATATAAAACCTGATCATCATGAACCATATTTGTTAACCCCATAGCTTCCAATAATCCGGTTAAGACTCCAGATCCCTTCCCATTGTTCATCACGACTTATCCTTTTGAGCTTGTAGGGAGTAATTCTGCTTATGTTGACTGCTACGGTGAGCAGCCTGAGACCTCCATCATGCGCCAACAAAGGGTCAGCCAGTTGCCAACCTGCATCCAACTTTCAATACTGGGTCCTGAATGTATCCATGGCCTTGGCGTCTATAGGAATCGGTGGCACTCGTTCCACTATCGCCACCTTTGGCGGTGATCAATTTGACACGGCCGAGGATCAAGCCCTTTTCTTCAACTGGTACTTCATAGCATTTTACGTCGCTTTAGGCCTCGGCAATACCGTCGTTGTGTATGTTGACGACAACGTTGGCTGGGGATGGGGCTACGCCATCTGCATCGCTGCTAATGTCTTTGGCATAGCCATTTTCTTAGCAGGTAGCAGCTTCTACCGTCATGCTAAGCACAAAGTCAGCCCATTCACCAGATTAGCACAAGTTGTGGTTGCAGCCATTCGGAAGCGCAAGCTGCCCTTATCATCTCAAAGCCAGGATTATTACTTAGGATACGGCGGGGTTTCCACAGAATTTGAACTTTCAGGCTATTCAACTCCAACTCGAAGCTTCAAGTAAGATCTACAATCAGCATTATCTGGCTTTCAGTCCTTCTAACTTAACTTCTAACTGCAGTATTTGCAATTAAGTATCAGCAGTACTTTGAATTTATTAATCTCTCTTTATGAGCCTGAACTCAAACCAAATTGGTGATCATTCCACGCAATGGAATATAATGTGTTACGTACAGCCCAGTTAAGCCCTTGGAGTTGGGCTAAGGGTGATCATCACTCACCACCAAAGCAATAAGCAATCAACACAACTCAGAAGGTTATGTTCATGCAGGTTCTTGAACCGTGCAGCACTGAGAATGGAAGGAGACACTGGACCAGACGACTCCATTGCAAAACCGTGGAGACTGTGTACAGTGGAGCAGGTGGAGGATCTAAAAGGCGTCATCAGAATTCTCCCACTGTGGTCTACAAGCATTTTCCTAAGCACCCCAATTGGCATCCAGACCGGACTAACCATCATTGAAGTTCTGAAGATGGACCGTCGTGTCGGGCCGCACATGGAAATCCCAGCTGGGTCCTTCATGGTCTTTACACTATTTTCCACGGCCATCTCCATTTTCCTCGTGGATCGTTTCCTTTATCCTCTGTGGATCAAGTTGGCAGGTCGAGCTCTGACACCGCTTCAGCGTATCGGCGTAGGCCACTTCTTCACCATCATCGGCATGGCAACGTCCGCCATGGTAGAGTCCACCCGTCTCCATGTTGTCAAATCCAACCACCTGAAGACCGAGGACAATTCCGTCGTCGCCCCCATGTCGGCACTGTGGATGGTGCTGCCGCTTTCCATAATAGGCATCGGCGAGTCCTTCCACTTCCCTGGACAAATTGAGTTGTACTATCAAGAATTCCCGGCATCTTTGCGTAACACATCGACCGCCATGGTCATGGCGCTTATCGCAGTTGGGTATTATCTGAGCACGGCGGTGATCGGTTTGGTTCGGAGAGTTACGGGGTGGCTGCCGGATAACATCGATGACGGGAGAGTAGACAATGTGTTCTGGATGCTGGCTGGGATAGGAGTGATCAACTTTGGTTACTATTTAACATGCGCCAAGCTGTACCAGTACAAGAATACCAAGAAGGGTGGAACTCGTTCCGACCATTCGGATAACTCTGTTTGATTTGTGCTGCTTTGTTGTTTCTTTCCCTTTGTTAATTATTCAATTGTTGGCGAAAAACAAACAAACAAACAAACAAACAAACAAAAAGGTAGATACATTAGGACCTTTATTTTTGATAATATTATAGACATTTCCTTTTTTTTCAGGCATTAGACATCATAGACATACCTCTGTTCGGGTATCATACCTTTTCCCGCATCATAGCTAGATGCTGTCTTTTTAATAATAACGCAATATCTAAACGATGAGGATGAATGGTTTGATTTGGTTGGTTGTTATTTCTCTTTCCTTTGGTGGAGTTTCGAAAATAGATTCAAATGACACTTAAAACTAAAAGAAAAATAGAGATAATTAAAGAGAAATACTAGAGAAAATATACAAATTTACATATATGGCTTATATCCTATGTTCATGGACGAGCAGGAATTAAAAAAATCACTATAGAATCAATAATGAGGAAAAATACAAATCAATGCACAACACCCCACTCGTAGAAAACCCTAAAATCTTAAATACACCCAAAACCTCTTGAATTATTTCTCAAGTCAGAAGATGTTTATAATAGAAAACCCCTAAACTTTATAACTTTTTACATTTAAGTCAAACCCATAAGCTGAATATGGATAAGTCCAAGCCTTTGCAAGGACCCAAGTCCTACATTTCCACCATAAGCCACTATCAAATTATGATTCACAACAAATAATTCAAGTCATCGGTCTTCGAGTCGATGGTTCAACCGTCCGATTCAAACAAATGGCCTGTTTTGACATAAAAGTTTAAAAAAAAAGTCAAAAATCGTTGAATGGATCGATGGATCGTTGACCGATTCAAAGGTTTTTGGCCAGGAACCAGGTTTGAGGTAAAACAGAACCAATTGTCTGGACAATTCTCAGGTCAAACGGTCTGATAGTCCGGTTCAACAATGGTTCAAAACCATAAATAAACTCAGATCCGAGCCCATTAGTTGAATGTCCCACACTGTGTTGAACGGGCTGTGGGAGCAATTACAATGGGCTAGGTAAATTTTAAACGTACGTTCAACCCCATTCCCATGTGCGACTCCATAACAAATTCCCTTTATTCCATTTTTCTTCTACCTCTACCCTCACTCCCTTCAGCTGGTCACCGTTCACAATCAATTTCCACCAACTGATCTCTCTCTCTCTCTCTCTCTCTCCTTTTATTCGTACTCATACTTGCTTGCTGGCTTGTTCTAGGTAATGTTTCTTTCCATGGTCAATCTTTTTTACTATACTAACGTAGTTTAAGAATCATGCACAGTATAGAAAAATCAATTATTATAGCTCAAGTACAAGACTAGTTTCAATTGTGTTGCTAGTAAGTATTGTATTAACTAGAAATATCTTCTTTAATTTGTTTACTTTTACCAATTTGATTTATGAAATGACTACTGAGCTAGATACAAACACAGAAACTGTCCCAATTGTGCAATTTCCGAATTCTTCGTTTAATAATATGGAAACTTTGTCTTGAGGCCGGAGTGTGGTTCATGGCAAACAAAGATAAGTAGAGAAAAGGCTTCTAGGGAGAGAAAAAGTGGGCGATGCAGTTTAAGATCATGCCAGAGAAGCACCAAATCATTTTAAAAGGAGGGAAAAAAAAGAGTTTACATTTAAATTAACTCTTTAATAGGCTTCCAACATCCTTTTTGATTAATGGGTTTCTAACAACTTGTTTGTTAGTGGATTTTTAATTAACTACTTTGATAGTGAGTTTCTAATGACTAGTTTTGTTAAATGCTCCAACTATATAAGCTTTGTAATTCTAAACATGAGGCATCAAATTTTTTCTATTGTTTTGTGAAGTATAAAGTTTTCTTTTGAAAATTGAGAGAGCCCTCTCACGGTGAGTGAATCCTCAACCTTATTACCTCTTTATAATCCATCTCATATATCTAGAAAATTTCATCTGAGTTCTTCTTTTTATTTCTCTTACACAAATTTCTCCTATTTCTTTGTTCTTATTTGAACTACATTAGAGAGAAAGAGGACCCACGAGGGGGGGTAAAGGGTGGAGGCGGTTTCAACGTTGTCAAAGAAGAATAATTACAAGTTAGGACTTGAAGAGAAGAGATGAATGTGTAAAGGGGCTCACAGCCACGCATGGGAATGGGTGAACATGTAAAACTGTGGTTGATTGTAATTGTTCCCACAGCCTGCTCAAGAGCGTGGAGCGTTCAGCTAATCCGGATTCTGGACTAATACCCAAAATATATAAGGTCCATATATATAGCTACACAGCCTTTATAAACTAAAAGAGAGAGAGAGAGAGAGAGAGAGAGAGAGGATCGGAGGAGTTAGCATCCAAGATGGAGAAGGACAAGGCTCTCTCCGGCGAACTTGGACTTGAACAGGAAGCACAACCAAATAATGGCAATCGCAAACGAGGGGGTTGGATTACCTTCCCCTTTATCGCAGGTCTCTCTCTCTCTCTCTCTCTCTCCAGAAAAGGATGTATTTATGCTACCATGTATCTAACATAGACATGGCTGTTTTTGTGCGAGTGCGAACAACTAACTGGGCAGCGAGTATGCTGGGTTTGACACTTGTGGCTAGCGGGTTGACGTCTAATGTGATTGTATATCTGATTGAGGAATTCAACATCAAGAGCATCCATGCCACACAAATATTTAGTACGGTCGACGGTTTCATCAATTTGCTCCCGATTGCCGGAGCCATCATCGCCGACTCCTTGGGTTGCTTCCCGGTGTTCACCATTTCCTCTTTCATCTCTTTACTGGTAAGTGGTAACTAACTAATTATATATGTATATTTGTTAACCTCTTTCAGTACTCAAGACTCCCGATCCCTCCTTGTTCATCACGACTTATCTTAACGTTATCTCCTCTCTCTCTTTCTCTCTCTCTCTCTCTCTCTCTCTCTCTCTCCTTTGAGCTTGCATGTAGGGAGTAATTCTGCTTACGTTGACTGCTACAGTGAGCATCCTGAGACCTCCATCATGCGCCAACATTGGGTCAGCCAGTTGCCAACCTCCATCCAACCTTCAGTACTTGGTCCTCTATGCATCTATAGCCTTGGTGTCTATAGGAGTCGGTGGCACTCGCTCCACTAGCGCCACCTTAGGCGCTGATCAATTTAACACAGCCGAGGATCAAGCGGTTTTCTTCAACTGGTTCTTCATGGCATTTTACGTCGCTCTTGTCTTTGGCAATACCGTCGTTGTGTATGTTGACGACAACGTGGGCTGGGGATGGGGCTACGGCATCTGTGTCGCGGCTAACTTCATTGCCTTAGCCATTTTCCTAGCAGGAAACAGCCACTACCGTCATGCTAAGCCCAAAGGCAGCCCATTCACCAGCCTAGCACGAGTTGTAGTTGCAGCAATTCGGAAGCGGAAGCTGCCCTTATCATCCCAAACCCAAAGCCAGGATTTTTACTTGGGATACGACGGAGTTTCGACAGAGTTACCAGCCTCTTCAATTCCAACTTCAAGCATCAAGTAAGATTTTCAATCTGCTAAAGCTTGCTTTCAGTTGTAGCTATATATTAGCCTATAATATATAGTATTAGCAGTTTGGCTACGAACGTCAGTCATTGATTCCATGATTAATATCCCCCCATTAATGGGATTCTAACCATACGAACTCTGTTGGTTTTATATGAACGTGGCGAAGGTCGCATTTTCTGCAACACGTAGCCGCAGAAAGTTTACCAGCCTCCAAGGCTTGTAAAGTTTCCCTACATTTCCCAACCTTTTCTTTCAAACCAGACATAGCCTAAATTCTTATATGGGTGTAAGACTCATCACTCAAATTGAATGTAATTTATTAGTTTCATCACCTAAATAAAATATAAAATAAACACAAATGCTGTAAACTGTTTGGTGAGACTTGTTCTTTTGGCATTCATTCAATTGAATTAGCTTGAATAAAAATTTTGTTAGGTTTGGATGTGCAAATTTAAATTTAATATCAGTTTGGTTTCAAGTTAGGTTCCATATATATTCAAGGTTGGATTGGCTCTTAACCTAACCCAAACCCATATTTATATCCCTGCTTGCTTTATTAAGAGAATCAAAAGGAGAAAAAGAAGGAATTTAATAGGGAAGAGAAGATGCTACAAATTAACATTAACTATTACGGTAAGGGTTAAATGATTTTAATTAATAGAGCAATTGGTGTCAACCAACTGATTGAGAGTTTGAAGCTGAAATATATACTAACGAACATAGAAATTAAGATATATGATGGCAGGTGATGTAAGACAAGGACATTCATCAATATTCTTTCCTTTAATTTCCTTTTTTTTTTTTCTTCCATTTTCTGTTTCTTGAGGGAGATGCCTAGCTACCAACTTAGTTTTATTAATAAAAAGAAAAAAGAAAAAAGAAAACTACAGTCTGCAGAGTGGACATGGAATGGAATTCTACTTTTCTCATAGATTCTAAACCAGGTACATATTCTGTTTAGTTTTAAAATGGATGGTGGTTTGGACAAATCCCGCTTTATTAGTCAATATTAGGATCGTTTAGAAGGTAAAGTAAGGTATCCCGTCTCTTTGTTTGATCATGTTCCCCGGAAAAAATAATGGCATGTGCTCCAATTAGCCCCTTAAGAAATTGTAAGCTAAAAACTAAAACGATATAGCTATGATTTGTTGATTTTAGTCCTATTTGGCTATGATTTTTATACATTCCGCTATATTAAATGTAATATAATATTTCTTCGCATATATCATTATAATATACATCCATTATGTATTTAACTATGGATATTTTGACCTTAAATATAATATTATTAATGTATTTATAAAATTTATATACATCCATGTATTTTTAAAATATATCCAAATCCAAATCCAAATAGCTGAATACATTCCTGATAACACATTTTTAATCCTTAGATATAAAACCTAATCTTAACCATTTGACTTAACCTGGCTTCACCAACTACTCACTTAAAACATTCTGATTGCCTTAAGTATTTAATTAAATAAAGTAGAATCCAATAAAATCTCAGA